ATAATCGCACCTTTTACCCACTCACTAGTTTAAGCCATCGTGTTCTCCCCCGGCGTATCATTCACAGTGAGATGTTTTTATTTTTTTCCCTGGCATGTACTGTTAAATATCGTCGGTTCTTTTCTGTGAACGGATTTGTTACTTGGGATGAATTACCCAGGGATGTAAAATTTCTGCAAAATTATCCTTTGCTCTAATGAGCCATTTTCGTTGTTTGCATTCAGAAAATCGCTCACAAATTTTGGGTGTTGAATCCACCGATCTAATATACCGTATCGATGGCGCTCGTAGTCTCTGATCCCCATGGCTGGTCTCACCAGGACAGTTTCTTTAACAAACAGCGACAACTGTTCTTCGGTGAGTCTGTTTGGTCCAGTCACAACTTCATGAAAGGAATTGGCGACTGATAGTATCCGATACCTTGCAACCTCCCCCCCCCCGCTTCTTGACGGTCGGCAGTTTGCGGTCAGCAGTTTTTTTTCTCCTGGACCCCTCAAACCATAAAACCACTATCAACTTTATTTCTATTCCTTTTTGAATGAAGTTTTTTTTACTTCTGGTCGGATTTGTGTTAAATCTTTCCCTGACAATGTCTGTTAACTGGTATTAAATACAATCACCATTACTATTACCGTTGTCATTATCTAAGTTGAGCCCTCTATCAAGAAGGAATCGAAGGGAATCAGCTACCTTCCTGGCCTTTCTGACACTTAGTCTTATGATGACGCATTTACCATGGCTGATATCTGAGAGCCAACAAGCCAGCCAGCTACTGAGTCGGCTAAGTCTTGTGAAGGATCAAGGATGTAAAAGCAAGTGCAACCACGCATAATAATTTCCTTCCGACTAATGTCAGATTTCAGGAATCCGCGAGAACATGTTTATCCCGTACACAGCGCAGTTTGCCGTGGGTTGGCTGCTTGCTTGCGTCAAAGATAAGCATCCGTTCCAAGGGGGGGGGTCGGTCACTGTGTACTGTTTACATAGGTGTCACATTCCCTTATCTGCATGAGGGAATGTGCAACAAAGTAAATAAATAATTAAATGAATAAGTTTCATTCAAGACCGTAGATGTCCGGTCCTAGCAAGTATGAATAAATTTTTAATGTGAATTTTAGGACAGGCAGACAGAGCTTGTATGATACTGAGTTCATAGTTAATTGAATAAGCAGTTAGTTACGAAAAATGATGAGCGAGCAGTGGAAAAGTCTCCTATCAAGTAAACAAAGTGCACATGACTGGATTAACGTTACAGGAGAAATAACTGTCTCTCAGGAAAGGATAAAATAGCTACCAGGACCAGCCTGAATGTGGCAGTGTACAGCGGGTCTCATGCAGGTGTACCGATGCGGGTCAGACAGGACTGGTCTGCATGCGGTTTTGAGTAAAGGTTTCGAAACGAACACCAAGGCAGAATTCGTATGCCAGATGAGGTTAAGCACGCCAAGGTGACGAGATGAGATGAACCCAGACGCGATCCGTTACAGTCCGCTTTGAGTCCAGCCTAGGGAGTGGGAAGCAAGGGAGATGCGGTCAAACTACTAGCAGATAGTAAGTACAGCGGTTTCCGCAAAGAGCGTCGACGGAACATTTGGGGTTGAAATGAGGAAATGACCTCAAAAACTGCAAAAATCAAAGACTGGGTTGTGAGGGTTCGAAATCGCGGGGGACAAAGCGGAAATCCGATGAGTGTCGTTTGTTAGCGAAAGTGGGCGACTTAGGGCGTGCGCGTTAGTCTGGCCAAGCTATTTCCTTGAGATAATTTGCCGGGAAAGATTGCGTATTCCGTGAGGGGCATGACATATGAGCTGATAAATCAAAAAAGCGAAATTTCTGATGTATGATCCTGGGAAGCGGATCTACACGCAAAAGAAGGAAATTAAAACTGATACGGAAATTAAGTGGCAACGTCCTAAATTCCTGGTGGCCATTCCTCAGTGTCACAAAAAAGTTGTCCGGGAAGAATAAGGAAGACAAAAGTTTGGTCGAATGTTGGGCATGTAATTGCTTGGCTTAGGGTCAGAGTCGGGTGGCATGATAATGAAGGCACGCAGGTAAAACACCTGACTGTCTGCCGCGCGTTGTGTGCCAAAAGTTCATTTGGGCGGTAGTGATTCATTACGGCTGAACAAGAGGTGCCCTAGCTCAGGCCTGAGGGTTCGCTATGTGTCAAGAGCGCGTCTGGAGGTCAACGCTTTTGTCGCCGTCTTTGACAGACGAAGGGACACCGCGAAAAGGGGACAATGGTGAGGCTGCTACAGTCTGCCTTAAGGTGCCCGCCCATCTGTGTCACCTCTGATGGCTTTGCACAGTTTAAAACTGCCAACAAACCCGGGTTATCGGCACAGAAAGTGATGAAGACTAAGAAGAATTATGGTCCTAAGACTGAGTCCTGGGGACAGCATTCAGAACGGAGGCGTGGGTTGACCTCGAAGAAGCAGCGCACAGGGATTGCGTTTTCTCTGTGGAAAAAATCTGTGATTCATGCCAACAGCTTTCCATTTATCCCAAATTAAAAAAAAAGTTTTTACATAAGACGTTTGTGCGGGACGCTGTAGAACGTCTTCTTTAGTCCGGTATGGCACTCCAACTTAGTGGTACCAGAGTTGCCACTCTCCTCATCTTTTGTCTACTATCTTGGAAACTGTGCGTTGTGGACTAAGTAATGTGGTTTATGCCGTGCAAGTCATCTGCGACCTCTCGCAGTTGGAGTCTTCTTGGCTTTGTCATAACACCTGTTCCTGTCGGGGGGGGTGGGAGTGAGGGAGAGAGTGCTTTGGCCGCAGAGCAAGCTTACTATCACTTTAAACTAATTAACGCTCAGTTCACCGCCCCAGCTCTCACCCTGCTGTGGAGCACGCGGGAGACATCGTCTAGATGGACGGTCGAGCTTTCATACTCGAGAAGTCTCTCAAATAAGGCGAACCCCGGAAGACTGAAAGAGTGCACTTGTCACCCCCGATTCACAGATACAATCACGACTAAACTCCGAAAATCAACGACCAATTAGTTTAAAATAGATATCATATAAGGATTTGGCGTATTGTCCAAAAACACCCAATGGGGTTTCCGCAACAAACAACATATTGTGTGATGGCGCACATGACATTTGTTGATGACACTCTTACCTCATCTATGTTCGTGCTAAAATTAAAAATATATAGAGGTCACAGACAGCGGCTACCTAGTGGATGCCATATTTTATACTGCGGTGATGTCTTTATCAGTGTACAACACAAACTCCATTCAAACGTCCGCTTGACTGACATTTGTTGAAGTAACAAGCGGGCTATGTGATTATGTAGCACTGACAACCATTCATCGAGGTCAATAGACGCCTGATGCTGTGATTTTTTCTACCGATTTGTATGCGATGGATAGGGAAATCAAGAGCATAGAATTCAGTTAACACTGAATACACTGAATCGCTAAAGGACTCTTCGACAGAACAATCGACTTGACATTGCTCAGTCTCCATGGCGGCAAGTTCGATCTCATGTAGGAGTTGGAGCGTGGAACGGGAAGGTCAGGGCAGTACGCCAGCCACTTCATTTTCCGTGCCATCAGTGTGGGGGATGTCCGTGGCAAGTTGTGAGGAATAGACCAAGAAGTCAGCCTCACGTGAATTAAGATTGTAAAAGTAGGACAGAAGGGCAAACGTCAGCAGCATACGACTCATAAGAATGATGAAGTCGCGATCTTCAGAAAAGTGGCGGTAATGACTCGCGGACAAGCAGGTGGCGAGAAGTTCAAGACAACAGTTCTGAAGCGTGTCTCGCCTAATGAGGGTTTATTGGAGAAAAGGACAAACGACCGGATTGAACCTGCAAGATGTCATTGAAAACTGCACCCGTCAGGCCGATCGAAGAACACTTGATTCTTTGAAAAGTATTTAGTGCCTCACCAGTAAATAAATAAATTGTTTTATTTAAGGATCCCAAGACAAGGGAGCATGATGGTCTGCGCTGAAACTAAAGTTTGGAGACTGATGTAAGAAAATCAGGAATGGTTCTAACCTTGTAGGGAAGCGGACGGAGGGTGCCGGAGTCAACATGATAGCCAGAGAAAGGCCGCACTTTAAAAGCGCATATTAATGGTTAAATGCTGACAACATACATATCGTAGTGGGTTAATTTCAAGTTGAGGTGCTTGCTATGTTCTCCAGCATTGCGGCTAGTAGTCAACACGCTACCGGCGTTGACGTAAACACATTCCAGGCCATATATAGCGTGGTCCATGAACGCTTGGAACGCTCGTGCAAAATAACGAAGGTCTAAATAAATAAGGATGAGTTTAAAATGGCCCATTTGGTGGGTAGTCGCAGGTTTGTCAATTTATCTGTGCTGGGCGGTACCCGTTGAAGGGCACTCGTCTGGTCGATCTTTAAGTAAATCGTTTTTCTGAGATGAGGTCCAGGGAAATCATGAAGATGAAGGACATGGAGTATAACACCAGTGAAAAATAGACAGCTACTGATATCTTAACTGCACAGGAGGACTAGGCCCGAAAATTAGTAACGCGAGCTCGAAAGAACGACAGTTAAAGCATAATTAATAGTTTACAAAAACAACAAATAATGAAGGGATGCCCACAGTGAAGATGGCCACCAACGGGAAAAACAGTTGAAGAGGCAGCAACATTAGGCACGCACTGCACAAGTGTTCGGAAATGCTATGTTGCCGAGTTGATTTGAAAAGTGGGGAACGGCCACCGGTAGGTATTGATATGTCAGTATTGCCATGCGTCAGTTCAGCCCAGTGTACCTGAGGAAGACAGGCTAACGCCTTTGAACTCCGTAAAAACCGAAATACTTAGTATTGATGGGAATAAATTACGGCGTAAAGTGAATGTGAACTAGATTCACGTAGTTCACTTGTTTTTATGGTTACATGGTCATATAGTGCTCTTGTTGCTGCTGCATGTGTCCGTTAAGTCGTTATTTGAAGGTCTGTCACTTAGTAGTCCCGTCAAGTTGAGAAGGGGTGGAATTTGCCTTGGCAATGTTATTTTTCCTCTACCGGTATGTCTGTCTCTTAAGCTCTCTTTCCTCCTTAATTTGCTCCACAAAATTTTGAACTTCATCCTATGATTATTGGTTTTCGTAGTTGAACAGAAGGGGACGTGGTGCGGGTGCTGTCCGCAAACTTGCTAACCAATCCCAACAAAGGTGCTTAAGAACTACCTGCTAACTTCCACATACGTGATGTATTACGTCTGGAATTTCAATTGACGCCCTTTCTTGAAATAAATTCCATTTAAAGGGCAAGATGTGAGATCTCACATGTACAATTTTTAACGGGAAATAGCACTAGTACCACGACTCGAGTCACATTTGTCGAACTATCACCAACTTTCTAAGCCACTACAAGCTGCGACTATGAGTACTCCTATAAGTACTTTTTTGAAAACTTCAGGTCAACACAGAGGTGGCCAGGAAATAGTTGCTTGACCGCCATCTCTTGCATAGAGCTGACAAGCACTAGTGCTGAAGGGCCCTTGAGTGCCTGTGATTCTCAAGCCATGATTTTCATTGTTCATATTATGGGCGCCAACAAAACCACTATTGCGAATGTTACGTCTTGACCCGTAAAGGGATTCGCCGTTAAGTGTCCCCAACTACAGGTGTAATCACTCATTGTGAAATAGTGCAATTATTGCTGGTTATAATAATCAGCAAAATCGATATGACCGCTTCCTCTGTACTCGTAAATGAGGGTGTCTACCACTACCGCTGCGTAAGATATGCCTAAATATGTCTGAACTCCCCACACTCCCTATATATGGGTCGCGCACACCAGCGGTCGTGTTAGACGCACCCACCCGCGTAAAGGACCCACCCATTGGAGGCTGAAAGTTGAGTGGCCGATAGACCCATCACCGTCCGAGGGTAAAAGCTAGATGGACAATTATCCCAAATTCTTTCAGGGTAGCTGGATGTTAGTGTGATGACGTTCGTCTCTTCGCCAGCATAAATCATCATGAAGTTAGATCACTGGGTTATAATAGCCCTGGCAGTCAAACAGCCCACAGAAACGAAAATAAGCACCGTTTTGCTTTCTCGGATTGTACTTCACGCGATCGGGCGGACGGGGCGTCCGTCTGACTCTCTTTGGCATCGTGCACCTCTCCACCACAATTGCCGCTGCGCAAAATATCCTTATGCCTACTTTCGCCTCAAGAGTTTTCAGTCCATAATATGGAGGCTTGTCTTCTTCATGCTCACACAACTTCGGATTACTTTTAGTACCGAAAACACTTTATCTATTGCCTGATTAGGCTGCGCTGGAGGGCTTCTATTGCTGGGACCTAGAGACTCAGACACGTTGAGCGGATGACTACTGTCAGCCATCGAGAGCACTAATCACGCCTATCATGCATGGTTGCAGACCCACTGTCCGCGTTAGGATTTCAGGTAAACATCCATAAAGGTGCCGAGTACTAGCGTTTCTCCTGTTGTGGACCTGGCCAGAACATTGACTAATTTAATCATACCTGGGAGTTTTCGTCCGACCGACTGTATTTGAAGGCGAACTTTCGTGTTGCGATGAACCTACGGGGGAAAGCGGCCGAAGCAGTCATGGTAAATGCTGTCAAAAGCACAAAACTTACAATTTGGGCACGCAAGCGCGTGCATATAGAGTTCCTTACATGTTAGACTTGTACTATCTACGTCCTCCATCCATGGCTAGACCCTCGGCAGTTGCTGTTCATTTAGCGTCTCCACCCTCGAATACTGGCGCGGAGGTTGCGAAAACTCGTTAGGAGAATACTTTAAAAAGTGCCCGTGGAGGCGTCAATTGTACCGATGACTCCAAATTGAGTGGGTGTACTTTGTTAGTGATTGCACGTTTTGGCCACAGAAAGTTCACATGTGCTGATAAGCAGGACGACATTCCTCTAGGAAACATCACATTTTTCAGTTGTGCATCTGAAATTTTTGCTCATTTAAATGCATGAACACTTTTCGGCACATCGAACCCTTTCCTATTTCGTCTTGGCAGGCACTTGCAGGATTTTTCTGCCTGGGTTTAGTCTCGTCCTTGGAAAAGAAGTGTACCAATAATAATCCTGGTTCTAAAGCCATTTTCAGTAGCGTGAGACGTTTGAATCAATATGGTTGCAATAGTTGGTACCTTCAATTTATTTTGTCTAGTGTGAAGATGCCACCCTTCTACATGCTGATTGAGTTCTGTGCGATATGTAGTCTTAAGGCCTGTATTAGGAGGAATTTATTTACAAGCATGCACATTTGACCCTAGACCGCCATTGTCGAGTCTAGAAGAACAGGTTGGCTCGCATAAGTTTTCGATAAAAGGAGAATTTGAAAGTAGAGGCAGATATCGTTGTGGTAGGTTAATTACAAATCTGCTGTCTTAAAAAACCTGCACATCCCCTTTTCAAAAGCCTGTAAATCCGGCTCAGTAGTAACACTATCAGCCCCCTTCTTGGAACACTGCCTAACTTATCATGCGGTCATGGCCTGCGATGAATCAAATACTATCATCTGTTTCTATCATCCCTGCGGTTTGCCTGAACTTCTCAGTTTCCGCCCGGCCTCACAAAATCACGTAGGCAGCTAACAGATCGGTATGACGGTCTACCAGACACTAATTTGACATACATGCCTTCAACAGTTATACTACCGATTGCCCACTACCTAGGCTATGTGTGGACAACATCGGCTGCTACCTGAAGTTTCAGTTCTAGCCGCTGTGCTGTCAGCTGTTACTGGATCATCCTCGGTTAGATGAAGACAGACTTGTCTAGTTCAGTTGCATCTTCCATAAGCGAATTGTAGCCGGTAGATAACAGACAACTTCTCATCTACCCATGAGTGGCGTGTTTTGACTCGTAATCTGTCGGAAAAGTGTGTTTCTCACCCCGATTGACGTGAAATTCTGGCACATCCCCGGCATTCCTCTCATGTGCCGGACGCCGTGACCCTATTTTCACCAGGTCATCCGTTGCCTACCAGTAATACAGCTATGGTGGATGGAACTACGAGGCAACCAGTCGCCGAATATAGATAAGGATTCAATGGCATCAACTAGTGGGCCTGAGCTCGGACCGAAGTCGCAGGCGGCATCCCAGGCTACCCAAAATGACCAGTTCAGTTTCGGCGCGGTTGAGGTCGTGAGCCGAGGTTACGATTCCATACTTGTCATCTGATAATTATCCGCTCCTTTCGCACTGCTCTGAAATGACTGGCGACCGACCATATAAGAGAAGTGACCATTTCCAGCCAGAGGCTTAATAATGCGAGCGTTATCAATGCCTAGTGATGAGTAGTTAGAATTGATCGCTGAAGACTGGGACATGCAATATGCATATCTAGGTAGGCACTGCTTATTCTCATGTCAAACTCCCTGGACGTTAAATCTTAATTACCATCAGAATTACCTCTGAACCACTCCAAAAAATTGTTCCATAATGTTGAATAACCTGTTCCTTAGAAGTCTTCAAGACTAAACCGCTACGGTCCGAGTATTTTGTATTAAAGGATGTTGAAATGTTTGCAGTCATCTCCGGTCCCTTCCCATCGAAGGTCCAGATTTTTCCCACTTGTATCAGACCATTCAGGTTTATACATGATTTTCCCTAACAAAGGATTGTTTGATTTTAAATTTCCTCTTTTCTGTATGGCATGTTAGATGACCATATATTCACGTGTTCTAGCTCAATCGCACTTCAAGACTTGTCTGTAGTCTCCCCTTGGTTGACGCGCAGAAAATTTTGCCAAATGAATCTGGAAGATGAAGAATTCCTGCCTGAGGTAAATAAAAATACAATAAATATCTTTAGTCACACCCCCTTAACGCGTATCTAAAGTCCATCGACATGGGCGAGGATATAGAGCAAACATCGTTCCAGCCACAGGCCTTCGACACTTCCCAAGGTCCAATTTTGCCGTCACTGCCTCGGCGACTGGACCTTTTGGAATATTTTCGCACTCAGGTTTGTCCGAATCAGTAGAAATATTATTCAGTTAAGGTCAGAACAATGAAAGCCGCAATGATCAAAAGGATAATAACGTCTGAAATACTTGTGGAAGAGGATAGTTATATCGTTCAGCAT